CTGTACCGTAAAAAAGATGAGGGAATAAGATGCCCAAAAAGTTTTACTGGGGAGGGGGTAAGTTGGACTGAATGAATGGCTATAAGACAATGTACTATCTTGCATTTGAGTTTGTTCCTGACTTTGATTCTCCGTGATTGCAAACTGCGCTTGTGTAGAGTTTGTAGCAAAATGGATACACACGATGTCCTTCTGTGATCTTACCATACCCACCCTGCAGCACCGTGCTGTACCGCTTCAACTTGATCAGTTTTGTATATTTTTTGTTTATCGTTATATCAAGAACGTTTCACAACTTGGTCACCATGACTTGCCGGTCATATGTGCATATGTAGATTTATATTTAACGTTGACAGCAAAAAGATGCTTGAGTTTCTTGTTGTCAGAATCTATGTGATTTTTGGAGATCAGGTCTTCCAACAATCTATTGGGAAAAAAACATGGGTACCTATTGCACTCAGTTATTAGCAGACCTAGTTTTGTAATCATATGAAGCAGAATTTGTGCAAAATATTATGCGTGAAAAGAAGAAAACACTTGCTGTGGCCTTCAATTCAACATTTACATATATCGACGACGTATTGTCAATAAACAACAATAAATTCCATTTCCTTGTCGATTTGATATATCTTGGTGAGCTTGAGATAAGAAACAACCCTTTAAATATGACATAAGTCTTGGTATCTTTCATTAGAAAACCTCAGCACTTCACTTTTAGAGATCTCCCAAAGACACTGACTAATATCATTTCCCATTACCTATATGTGACATTGTACAATGTTGCCTTGATTGATTTCCCGTGTTTTGGTAATGAAAAAATTTCAAAATGACTGACATACTATCAATTAACAGAGGTATTTCCATTCTATGTCGATATGATATATCCTGGTGAGCTTGAGATAAAAGTTACCACAGAGTCTGAGAATTTGTTTCATATCTTTACAGTTTACTTCAAAAAGACGTTAATGGTAATATAACAACCAAGCTCTATGATAAACATGATATCTTTTCTATCAAATTTCCTTACTTATGCAGCGATATACCTTCCTCACCTAAATACGAAGTTTACATAACTCATGCTAGACATACATGTATGAATAATATATACGAGGAGTAAAATTATTGACAAACAAGTTGATAAAACAAGAATTTCAGGAGCTCGTTTGAAGTCATCATTTAGTTCCATGGTCGAAACAATGACCTTGTGATGGAATACAATTTATAATTGAGTCAAATGCTGACTAACCTTTTCATACTTATTGCTAGTTCATTATTTATACACTTAATTGACGACGTTTTTTCCGTTTTCCCCCATTATGACAAGAAGCGGGTGTGATCGGTCGGCAGGGGCGCTACTCACTCCATGGCACCTGATCCCACTTTATTAGTCAATAGGATAATTTAATCATTATCGAAATTGCTTTACATACTCGGGGATTTAAATAGTTTAAAAATATAACCAAATAATTCGTTCTTTAATATTAATATAGAAGTAGTACTGGTATACCTTAATTGATTAATTGACTGATTGTATAATGTTCGAGAAGTTTTCACTTTTGTCGCCATTTACCATTGAGGGCAGAATATCTCATTGATATTATAGTTCATAAAAAATAAAATTTACAAAGAGGGCGAGGTTTCGTCAAAAATATTGAATATAATAAATAAAAAAATCTTCATGTATAATAATAACTTAACTGAATAGCACTCTTCTCACCGTTGAAGAACAATTTAGCTGGTCTTACAAAAAATTAAAGTGGAAAATCTCTAACAATCGAAAGCATGACTATCAAAAGTTGGGAAATGAAACCATATTAACGAATATTAAGCCAACAAAATGATGAATAATACTCAGCTGATCAAATCGGTTAAAATCACTTTATCACAGTTACCTCATTACCTCCTTGTTTTATCTCATTTCATATCTTATTTCTGTACAGCGCAAATAAACTTATCTTTAGTACATTTATAACATTATCAAGTTCAAATATCCTTGCCGAAGTCATTATGTATCGTTTAAGGTAGGTCCAAGCTTAATATCTTGCTTAATATCGCCTAACATAATTTTACCATTATGCACTCAAACATAAAAATAATTTGTTTTAAATATCTATAGCAAAATTAAGTGTTACGCTTTAAGAGCATACAAAATTACATGGGAATTACGCCCCCTCTCTCACCTTTGAAAAGATGTGGACGTTTGTGCATACATTGCACAAACATACGCCTGGCTACGCACAAGACCCAAATTATTAACCAATTAAATCTCGTGTTACCTGCTAGATAGGAAAAAAGGTTAGCGTTTTGAAATTTTTGACAACTTCCCAAAAGTGCTGAGCAGTTGAAAAGAGAACCCAGAAATCATCACATTACAGGTTTTTACATTTCATTCAATTGCAAAAAATCATAAAGCCAAAAATAATTTGTTTAATACTTCCTCTGTCACCGCTGCATATAAGATAAACCATATTGATAAGGGAAATAATTCATTTTACCATCTTTTCCAAGTGAAAGTTTGACCCATTCCCATTTTTCATACATCATACATGTATATGCTAATAGATACCAGTGAGCTTTGCTAAGCACATTTTTGTCTGTCTTTCATCTAGCTGTCTGTCCATCCATCCGTCTGTAAATACTGTATTTCACATTTTTCAACTTCTCCAGAACCACTGGGTCAATTCCTCATTCAAACTTGTGATAAAGAATCTTCTTTGCTAAGTTTTTTTGAAGGAGGACCCATGCCCTCTTTCAAGAGGAGGTGATTAAAAAACTGTAAAATCACATACTTTTTGCCAACAAATTTTGGAAGTTTGAGGAAAAGAAAGCCAGACCCTGGGGCCATGAAACTCACAATTTTGAAAGAGGCAGCATTATCTAACATAATCATATACTTGATTAATTTATCTAATAAACAGGAGCAGAGAAAAGATTTTTAAAGAATAAATGCATTTTTTCTATAAAATCAATAGAGCCCTGCCCCTTAATAATTCAAAACCCTTGACACTAGGGGCCATAGAATTCATATTTTTGGAAGAAGCATTCACGCTTATTATAACTTTATACTCAGTTTGTTTATTAGATACCCAGGAGCAGAGAATATTTTCTAAAATTTATTGCATTTTTACTATGTAACCAAAAAAGCCCCGCTTTAACACCAGAACCCCTGACCCATGGGGCCATAGAAATCACAATTTGGGAAGAGGCATTTTCACTCATTATAACTATGTACTTTCAATTGCAAATTGTTTGTTTAATACCTTGGAGCTAAGGAGATTTTCAAAGAATTGATGTTTTTTTCACTATATATCCATAGGGTTCCGCCCTAACACAAGAAACCCTGACGCAGGACGGAGGATGTACGACGACAAACGAAAACGGACTGTTATAGGTCACCTGAGTTTGCTCATGTTACCTAAAAATATTTTGCTATAAAAAAGCAAAGCCATGATAATTTGCAATGATATGGAAGTATTCTTAGGTAGTGCAGATTTAAGATTGTTCAAATTTTGATACCCCAGGGATAGGGTGGGTCACAGTGGGCCATCTGAGTTAAAAATAAAGATATAAACAATGATCAAGGGGAAACATCTTTAAAATCTTTTTTTTTCTGAGATCAGAAAAGTTAAGATTTGTCATAATCTCCTCGGATAGTGAAGATTCAAATTAATTCAGATCATGACACCTGGGAGTAAGTTTGGGTCACATAAATGTGATCAAAATTTAACATGGGAAAATATAAATATTAATTAAATAAACAAATCTATAAATGAAGAACAGCAAGGTGACTCAGGTGAGCGCCCTGTCCCATGGGCCTATTGTTATATTCACAATGTTTATCTTATAAAAATTGCATTTTATGGATTAACTCCTTTAAAATAAAATATCTGTATCAAAATCATTTTGAGCTGATTCATTTTTAATATAAGAGTACAAAAAGTAAGAATAGGTAAATGTCGCCATTTTGTTGACTGTCAAAACAAAAAGATTGAGAAACATATAAGTAAAATGCTGTAAAAAGTAAGATTCATTTTTTGGCCTATTGCACCAAAAAGAGATACAGTACATGTGTTTAAGTACATGTTTTGTTCCGGTGTGGTGTGTGAGGGTGTGTGTGTGTTTGTATTTAAAAAATCATGTATAATTCTAATTTTAGATTTATAATCATAATTGAATGAAAGAAAGTAATTGAAATAAGTTTTTGTCTTAAGAATGATTAAAAATAATGTGAAAAAATGTGTTTTTTCATTAACTGTGACAAAAAGCAAGTTAAAAATAGACAAACTTGTTGTTACCAGATACAAGAAATTGATGTGGTAATCAATTATTTTATTTGTTACGTAATATAACTCTATATTTTTAAAAAAAAAATTAAAAAAAAACTTTGATCATGCTTTAATACAGAGTGTATCTTATTTTCTTTTTATTAAGAACATCAAGATTGAATGCTGCACAACCTTGTTATTTTATTTGTAATTCTTTTGTAAATGATAAAATTGACTCAATAAAGGTAAATACAATGTTATAGAATGTCTTATATTATTTCCTTAAAAGTTTTCCATCATTTCATTATTTATAATTAGGTGTTTTAATTGATAAATGCTTTGTTAAACAGGTATGACTGAGGAGACATGGAGGCTGTTATAACACTGAGATGAGTACTCAGTACAGTGGTTATCTTGGTATTAATTCTTTTCTTTTCTATATGTTATGTAAAACCAAGACATTGTTAAATGAATATACACATATTGTAATGTAAACAGAACCCTGTTATTGATTTAGATAATTAAAACAAAGTTTTGTTATTTAAAGATAATGAAGAAATCAACACGAGAATCTGAATCCAGTGGATAAAGATGAAATAAATGTCAGGTTTCACTGATGTATAGATTGGTGTTACACAAATCTATCACAGTGCCAGGTGTTAGACGTGGTCGTCACATTACCCACGTGACACCAGACCGGGTCTGGATCGCTGATGGTGATGGTAATCTCATACTGACAAACATGGCGGGTGATGAACTACGTCATATTACAAATATAAATAGAGGTGTCCGTGGCGCACATACTGTGACTGGGGACAGTTATTTAATTTATATAGACAGTGACCGTAATATTATTAAACTTTCTACAGATCACAAAGTAAAGATGATACCGTACACATCACCATGGATACCAAAATGTGTCTACAGCTCCCTCTCCACTGGAGACCTGCTGGTCGTGATGTATAGAGGTGATAAAGATACAAGCCAGGTAAACCGGTATACTAACACAGGAGAACACATACAGACCATAGAGAATGACAACACAGGTCAGGAGCTTTATGAATATCCTATCTAAATCACAGAGAACCGCAATGGAGATGTAATTGTGTCTGACATTGGCCGTTATGCTGTGGTGGTGACAAACAGTAGAGGTAGACACCGCTTCTCCTACACAGGTCACCCATCAGGATCAGGACTAGATCCACATGAAATCTGTACTGATGCGCTGTCACACATCCTGGTGTGTGATTATTTTACCAACATGATACATATACTTGACAGTGACGGGCGACTCCTGTCACAAATAAAAAGAGAACAACACGGGATAAACAGACCACTGGGTCTGAGTTATGATAACAGAACTCACTGTGTCTGGATGGGATCAGACGACAACAACACAGTGAACATTCACAGACTGGAACACTCCCTGACTGGTAAGTATTACATCAGTATAATTGTGTGTTTTGTTTTACATGACTGTACAATGTTACTTGTGTACAATTACTGTAAATGTATTATATTTACCGTGTATGATGTTTGGCGGAAATTGAACAAGTTAGCGTAGATTTAATTCAGCACATTTCTTATCATTCTTATTTATGTATATAAGTACAAAACATTTAGCGTTGTACTTGAATTAGCGGAAGTGTCTTCCCATAAAACGCGCTAAAAAGATGAATAGCCAAATATAATACGTTTACAGTAATTATTATTTGTGTTTTTTTTTATGTTTTTACAAGACATTAACTAAAATTTGTATTGTATTTAGTGTAATTAAATTACATAATTAATTCTATTATAACTTGTTGAATTAAGTAATAAGAATTATTACTAATACATGATATGAGGATACATAAATCATAAACTGTTATTTATTACTTTGATAACTTAAGTAAATACATTTCAGATAAAATGCTTAAGAGTGCTTTAATATGTAATTGGTTTAGTTATAACTTTGTCATTTGTTTGTTATGTTTGGCAAACTACTGATTCTGCATTAAATTTGAAAGTAAGTAAATATTAATGTAAAGTCAACATGTTTTCTGTAGATTTCTTAACCGACTATCACAGTTAAAAATATAAAAAAAAGCAATAAAATTAAGGATGATTAAAAATACAAAGATGCGAGCATGTACATATGCCACACACATAGTAGATTTATAAGATAACCTTGGAAACAGCCCAGTGATATTTTATTTAAAAAAAATATTATCCACTTTGTTTGCATTAAAAGAGAAAAATAAATAAATAAAAAGTGATGATAATACTCATAATAACGAATTAAATTAAACACTACATCAGACATTATGGATATAAGAGACAGGTTAAAATGCATTAATAGTAGTATGTATAGTACAGTTGACTCTGTCCTACATCACCCATGATCACAAACAATGTTAAATCTTCTGTCCTTGGCTAATAAATTACATGTACAACGACTCTCAATGTTTGTCAGTAATTATCAATGTTGTCCAGGAGCTTTATGGACAGCTTTCTTTGGCTAAAGAAATAGATGTAAAACAAATCTTATTGATATTATCTTCTATTGGGTTGACCTTTTATTGTCCACTCCTACATGTAGTAAAGTGAGTAAATCAGTAACAGTCCAATTGTCTAGTTTGTAGGTCAACTTAGACGGGGAAATATATTCGAGAGGGACGTCAAATAATAAACCATCATTCAATCAATCAATGTACATGAAAAGAATTTGTACAGTTACCAGATGGTATTTTGTACAAGTTGACAGTGAGATATAGACATCATTGATATTAACAAAGCTCTGTCCAGGAATGTTGTGCATTTCTATAGCAGGTGTTTAGAAAATCTACACTGCGTGTTGTTTTGACATTCCTCATGTGCATGATGTATTATATTATTTCTTTTTTTGCCAAAATGAAAATGAAGTCATGGTGTGTGTCTTTTTTCCACAGTTTTTTTTTTTAGTATTTTTTCATTAGAGTTGCTTAATTCTTTTAGCAACATGCCATATGGCGGGATTCGTTTTTGTATGAATATGTCAACTTCATGTTTATCCGTGTGTCTGTCGGTACCATACAAAGCAAAAATTCTCATCATTTTTTTTCAACAACAATTGTCTACTCATTGAAGATGCTTAGAATTGTAACATGCTCTTTGTTTAGGCATGGCATATGATTGGATTTAAATTTGTTTTAATTGTTGTCAATATCCTGTTTATCTGTGTGTCTGTCTGTAAAATAAGTAATAAATTTTTGTCATAGTTTTCTTTGCATTTACTCATTAAACATTTTGAAGATGCTTGAAATTTTAGTACACTCTTTATTGAGGTAATTGCAATATGAGGAGATTCATTTTCAGCTCACCTGCGCCTAAGGCTAAATTGAGCATTTCTGGTCAGATTTGTCCGTCTTCTGTCCGTATAGTTGTCTGTCACTCTGTAAACTTTTCACGTTTTCGACTTCTAAAAACCTGACTTCACTTCACTACACCTGACCTTATCTTCACTACACCTGACCTTATCTTCACTAGACATGACTTCATCTTCACTAGACATGACCACATCTTCACTTTACCTGTCATCATCTTCACTATACCTGATATCATCCTAACTAGACCTGACTTCATCTTCACTACACCTTACTTCATCTGCACTAAATCGGACTTCATCTTCACTAGACATGACTTTTTTTTACAGGAGACATGAATTCATCTTCACTAGACATGACTTTATCTTCACTAGACCTGACATCATCTTCACTATACCTGACATCATCTTCACTAGAAATGACTTCATCTTCACTAGACATGACTTTATCTTCACTAGACATGACTTCATCTTCACTAGGCATGACTTTATCTTCACTAGGCATGACTTCATCTTCACTATACATGACCTTATCTTCACTAGACATGACATCATCTTCACTAGACATGACTTCATCTTCACTAGACATGACTTTATCTTCACTAGACATGACTTCATCTTCACTAGGCATGACTTTATCTTCACTAGGCATGACATCATCTTCACTATACCTGATATCATCTTCACTATTTCCGACTTCATCTTCACTTCTCCTGACCTCATGTTGACTAGACCTGACCTCATCTTAATTAGAACTGACCTCAACAAAACTTGGCCTGAACTCAAATTCAGTAGACCTGTTCTTATCATTTGACCTAAAATCTAACTCATTGACATGACCTAATATCCTTGGATTATTGAATGTATTAATTATTATTGCTAACAATAGAACTCACTAATCTATCCAAATTTTCTCAGTCAGAGGGCTATTAAGTTCTACATCTTCCATGAAGCACAATAAACTAGTCGGGTTAGGATTTTTATTTGTTTTAAGCTCTGCTGTCAAAAATATGCGTTTTGTTTTGAAATGTAAAGAATTAAATCAGTTTTTTTCATGTTTTTATTTGTTTTGTAGATTTTCTGAAAAAGGAGAAAACCACTGTTTTTCATGCCAGAGGAATACTTGTTGGATGTGGCGAGGCTGGAAACAACACTACTGAAGCGATTAAGAGAGCAATGCCAAAATCACAGTGACGTGAAAAAGTCGACAAAGGGACTAACAACACTGCTGAATCGATTTAAAGGGAACATCAAAATGTTGGTGAAGTTACAGAGTCCACCAGGGGACTGGAAGTCCATAAACATCTCTTTTGTTAGAGATGGAATTTTAGAAGGTAAAACAATTTCTGTACATTTTCCCTTTAAGAACGAAACTTGAATGGAACATTAAATCAGTGAATCACAAACATTATTGCAATTCCAATTAAAAAAATAATAAAAATGCCATAAATCCGTCAAAATTCAATGACTTAGAACGAAACGCAAAATTGATGTACTTAAGTGCAGTCATCCTTTCTACCCCAGGTATTTCCCAGACAACCCCGATGAAGAAGGGTGAATCATTTAAATTATGAACTTCATGGCCCTTGGGTCGGGAGTTTTGATTTTAGGGCAGTGCTCTTTTGATTATAAAGCAAAAATGCATAATTTCTTTGAAAATCTTTTCCTCTGCTCCATGATATTGAGCAGATAAACTACCTAGTACGTAGTGATAATAAACGTGTTTCCTTCTTCCAGAATTTTGAATTCAAGGCAACTGGGTCAAGGATAAGGTACATGTTAAGGGATTCTCTAATTATATACAGAAAATGAATTAATGCTTGGAAATCTGCTTCTTGGTAGTAATCAAACATTTATCATGAGTAAAGTTGTCTTTTCCAAAATTCTGAAATGTGTGGAACCCAAGGTAAAGGGTTCCTTTGAGGTGAGGCACTACTGATTATTTCTTATTATTAATGAATAGTTGAAATTCATTTTTTGTTCCCCAATGAATATTTCGTAACCAAATAAGGGTTGCTAAGTGTATACTTATGACAAGAAATGGTGTCTCTTTAAAAAGTGTGAATGACATGGCCTCTGCTTTTAAACAGGAAGTGTACTGAACCATATTCAATTGTTGGAAAGTAAAAAAAAATGTTTCATGATACTTAGGTGACATATGAGACCCCTAGGTCTCTTAAAGCTTGTTCATATGAAGGACCTCATCCTCCTCCAAGTAAAGATGATTAACAAATACAGTAGTTAAAATTTAGTGGGGGCATTATAAAACCCTAGGGACCACTGGGGTAGGAAAAAATAAACATATTTAGGTGGGGGGATAAATGAAATTCAAACTTTTATGGAAAAAAACACAGTTAAGCAACGAAATAAGTAAGCATTCTTAGTAGGCGTAGACTCAAGATCAAAAAATTAAAACCAGCCTCCATTTTATGCATT